AATGAAGACTTGGTATAAAGAAGAAGGAATGCAATTCTTTTGATGAATCCAATCCCTATTGAGCAAAGCATTATATTCTGTCTTTGAGTCGACGATAAAAAATGCGATCATGTGATTGCGACCTGCAATGTTGACCTCTAGAGGGAGTACCCATTTGGTCTGAGACTTGTCACTGACAAAGCTACTCATGGTTATTCCTGAAGGAATGAGCTCGTCGTTGGATCATCGTAATGTTTTCATGACGGATACAAGCATGATATTGATAGTTGCTCCGCAATTGACGAAAATATGGGCCATGACATACAACGGTTTTAAATGCTGAAGATTAGTTAAGGAAGAACAAGGAAACAAAATGTCCAAGGTTGTTTTAAGTTTATCGTCGCCGTTTGTTGACTCGTCTTCAGTAGTAGTGACGAAATCAACTTGTGTTGCTTCCTCGGCGACCACATCACTGTCCAAGGAACTTGGTTGGTGTACAGTCAGCTGAAATTCGGCAGGTAGAACATGGACCATGCTGATTTCCATATTTTCATGGACTGAAGGGCCCATTGGATCCTTGTCGTCATCTTTCGGGGTGGTGAGGACTATAGCATCGTGTATTGGAGCATTCGCAACCTGATCACTGTGTGTCTCAACATATTCATGCACTTGTGCCATACAATCCGACTCTGCTCCTGCCGTATTTTACTAGCTCGTTCCTCATAGGCGATCCGGGCATTCCTTGTGTCCAGGTAAGCGTTCAGACGTGCCACCTGCTCTTTCTCATCGGCCGTTAAACCAAACAAGGAGACAGCCGAAAAAACTTCGAAGTGATATCGAATGTGTTAAAAGTCTTCAACAGAAAATAGGAGTTCGACTGTGTCAATGTCCGTGTATAGATCGACCTCGAAGCCGAGAACCTTAGCCTTTCGAATGTTCTGAAATCTGGTTTTCATTGCTGGATCGGTGGTTTTTTGGATGATCTGCTCAACATTGGGGCAAGTTAATGCCAGGTCAAGAGCTTCTTGGCATGCCTTGGGCAACCCATACAATTCATTGGCGGAATATTTCTTGTGAAATTCTTTTATATATTCTAATGATTCACCGAGGAATGAGAGGTGCAGATTCCGCCGAACTCTGATTAATGGTTCTTTCAAAGGTAACGGGGGCAGTTGGCTTTCGACTTCTTTATTAAATTGCTCGAAATGAGCTTTCATTTCCCCGGGCCGAAGAAGAAGTTTGATGCGCTTCTCGGATGCTTCAATGGTAGTTTCGAAGTCACGATTGGTTTCTTTCTGCCCTTGTAATTCAGCCATGATTGTTAAGGTTAGCCAATCATCTCCGCTTCCTGCCGTCTCTTTCGGCTGCTATTTAGTGGCTGAAACAGGCTGGGCCGCTTGTCGTCGAGCTGAGCAATCTATACGCTGACGTCAACATTTTTGAGACTTGGAAACCGCGGTATACATGCCAGTGGGAGAATTGTAGCTGTACCAACGTTGGTCACGTGGTTCAGGTGGCCTGAAACGTTTTGGATTCGCTGGTGAGCTTGAGCTACTGGAATTACGTGAATAATACTCCTCGTTATAAAACAGTGCGTCGAAATCAAGGCGTCGTCTGACCGAGGTAGGGCCATCCGTCTGTTTCTTAGAGCCGAACCTATCGAATACTTTCTGGCGCTGGCCTTCACTAGGTTCTTGTGAAGGTGGCACCGTGATCTCCGATTGTTGTCGTGATGTCGGCGTCTGTGTTTGAGGTAGTTTCTCCTTGGGGTCGGTTAAAATAACTTGTACCTTACAATTACTGCACAAAACTATCGGCCCGTCGTCTTCTCCTTCGCTGGAGTCTGACATGGATTCAACTTTGGCCGGTCCTGAAAGCTCGGTAGGTGGCGCATTGGAAAATAAGTCGATCTTGAGTCAAGGCTGGGAACCTCTCTTTAGAATGTGTTGTACTGGGGCAAACTCGACATTCTCTTTCCCTTTGCTCTTGGGCAAACGGGCGTCTACCATGCCAATTGTTGCCGAAGGGAATAGATCTGTATCAACCGTCATGCGTTTCTCAGGAAACTTTAACTTGCCCTTGTCAATCCAACTCTGGATATCATCACGAAATATGACACAATTGTTTGTGGCATGCTTTGTCGAGTTATGATATTTGTAATATGTCTTTCCTTTAAGCTCTTCGGCTTTGGGAATGTTATGCCCTGGCCAAAGTCTGATAATCTTTGCTGATAGCAATTGATCAAAAATTGCTTCGGCCTTTGTAATATCAAAAGCGTAAACTTTTGATGTTTTCGCTATTTCTTCAGTGGCCGAGCGAGTTTTGGCTTCCTTGGAATTAATTTGGGTCAATGCTTTGCAAATGTATGGTTTATCTATTACTATCTCAGCCGCATCCACGCTGATGTATTGAAACCCTTCACCTTCGGTCGATGCATAACTGATCGTGGGGTTTTTGTAAATCGTCCTTCGGGATAGGGATTTCGAGATCTTCTCTTCTCGGAGCAAATAATCATATTGCTCGACATGCTGAGCTAGTGAATACATATCTCGAAAGTTTGCCCCCAAGAATTTCTTTTTGTATTCCATGTCGAGGCCATTCATAGTAAGTTTAACAAATTCGACTTCGAGTAGAGGCACTTGACACCAATTCCTGGCCGATTTAAATCTGGTAAGATAATCCATTGGTGACTCATCAGATGCTTGAGCCATCCTTACTAATGAAGAAACCGACATTTCCATCCATGACCGATAAAAGTGCTCGTGAAATTTCTCGACCAACTCCTCCCAGCTTTGGATAGAATTAAGTGGGAGGTTGATATACCAGGCAAATGCGAAGCTGGTCAACGAAAAGTTGAATAGTCGTAGCTTATGAAAGTCACTATTAATATCTCCGCATTGCGCTGTGAAACGAGTCACATGTTCTAACGAGGATAAGGACGATTCCCCAGCGAAAATGCTAAAATCTGGAATTTTGAAACCTTTAGGATATTCGAACGTTTCCATATAAGCTGGATACGGGTGGATAAATTTAGGGAACTTCAGCCCCTTTTTCATGGCCGAATCGATCATCCGCTGGACCTCGGTCATATCAACGGGTGTTGCTTGGTCGGATTCGTCTGACCTACTACTCGATCCTCTTCTTTTTTTCTAAGTCAATTGGTTTGAGCCGAGCAGGGATTGGCTTGGTCTGTACTATTGGTAACAGATTGGCTCGACCTGTACTATTGGTAACAGATTATTTCTTGGTGGCAAGTGCTGGGAAAAATCGAAGGACTTGTCGTCGCCGACCTTACTAACCAATATTTCGAGCAATTTGGTTTGTATCTCATTGATCCTGTGTATTACGTTGTGCAATTTATCGATTCCTTAACTAAATGTCTGTTCAATCGTCCAAGATTGTTCATCAAGTTGTCTTCGAAGAAACGATCTTGTTGGTGGATCAAAGCCTTCACCATCATCCTCATCACAATCCTTCATTATCCCTTCATTGAGAACGCAGGTGTTTTTGTTATGGATTTCTAGACTGCGAAGCTGACCGCCGAGATTAACTTCCCTTTCTCGGCGAGTCGTGCTTGTGGACTCAGGTGTCACGGTGCTAAGGGGATTCTACGCATGTGGTACATTTTGTCCTATGTTTTGAATTGGCAAATCGGTTGTTGATTTTCCTATAGCTGTTTTCTTTTTAACCGATTGTGTTTCAATTGGCATAAACTTCGTAGTTTTAGCACTGAGTCCCACTGGGCGTGCCAAAATGTTGACCCTGAAAACTACCAAGCCTACATGGCGCGCATGCCGAGTAATCTATGAGCTAACTACGTCCTTTGGGTTGAATACGGGGCGTGCCAACTCATCGACCGAGCTCGGCCAAGGAGTAAAAAATGTTGATGTTGTGTTGGGTGCGCGGCTGACGTCTACATCTTGCGATTGCGACCGAAGAAGGAACACGTCTCGGCCTCCTGGATTCTCAAACCTGAAGACAAGGCTACTATTCTTACGAATTTCACAAATCGTTGTCGTCGGATTTGGTCACTGTGATGGTATTCGTCAGAGTAAACTTATATCGAATCGACACCAAAGTGTAAGGGCATAAATACTCAAAGCGGATATAAGTCTTAATAGTAAACATGGTTCGGCCATCGAAGTGCCGAACTCTAAACCCCATTTGAGAGTATCCAATCATAAAATAACTCGGCGTGCTATGTGCTGAGCCCAATAAATTGTAACACCTCACTTCGCCGAGAAGGTTGATGAGATGACCTCGACCAACAAGGATTCAGAAATCCTTCTCGACCGAGACTTGGATAGATAACCAGTCGCCCTCGACGCAGTTCTGTCTATGCTGATTGAAGATGCTGCGAGATCGGTTGGTTCTACAGTGACATTGCTGTTTATGCCAACTGAAGATATCACCGGTTGCCTTCATAGTGCTGTTTATCCAAACTGAAGGTGTGTCGGCGAAAAGAGAAAAGAAAAATCTCAAGGTTGTTGAGAGAATTTGCGCAGGGCAGTTGTGTGTTGAATTGGAGATGGCTTGTTTCAATGTCTTCCATCCCTATTTATAGCAGCCAACCTGTATTGAATCCCATTCACTCCCGGATTATAACTCCTTCTCATAATCCAACTTTATCTCGACCAATCTTATTCCTACTAGGATTTTGAACACCACTCATTATCAAACTGTGTTCAATCTCAGCATCCTGATCCCGTCGAGATTCCCTCTCATAACAGGATTCGTCCACATTCCACTTTTCGATAGGATATGGCCCACTTCAACCACACGGCCCATGGGCTGAATATCTTCTAATGACACCTGTTTACAACTTTTGGGCCGACAATGAATCTAAACTTGGCCTATCCCACACTGGGCCGAAAAAGATCTAAGTCGGCCCAAAACAGTATTTTTTGGGCCCAAACAAATATATAGTTGGAACGTATGCATCGTGCTTGTTCAAAGGGAAAAATCATCATTACAGAATACAGAAGTTGTAGAAATTGAATCAACACTTAAGCAAAAGGAAATGAAAAAATGTATAACTGCATAAAGATCAACTTTTAAGAAAACTATAAATAAAAAATTAAAAAAACACAACCGGCAGAAAGTACAAATCTGATAATCAAACAATTTACTGCAAAAATTTGGAAACGAAATAAGAGTTATTTGCCTATATGATCATCTTTTGGTATCAGATATCAATTTTGGAAATGAAAAATGAGATTCCAAAAAGGAAATTCAAAAGTTAGGAATCAGAGACCAGAAGAGCATCCCATATCATGTCCATGTCCAAGGAGGGCATTCTACTTAATTGAACAGCATCCACATCTGCTGTTGATACTAAATCCTGCTGGTGGTGATGGTGATGAGACCCAACTTTGCTCTCCAACCCAAACTGCCACTCTTTTCTTGTAGGGTTTTGGCTCAAATTACTATTGATCATGATATTCTTGTGATCGCCGCCATCACCCGCTGAGTGCTTGTTTGATGATGCTGATTCGGACGAAGAGGACTCCTTGATGGCCTTCTTATGTGCTTGTGATGATGATATTGCTTGCAGCTTTGCTTCAAGAAGAGCAGCTGTGGTTCCTTTCAAAGCACTGGCCTTAAGTTGATGCTTCAAACCTGGGAGATTCAACTTTGCATGTTCGCCGCGCAATATATAAGCCGCGGTGTCATATGCAATGGCAGCCTCCTCAGCGGTGTCAAAAGTCCCCAACCAAACCCTTGTTCGGTTTCTTGGTAATCGAATCTCAGCCACCCATTTCCCCCAATGCCTCTGCCTAACTCCTCTAAATAGCTTTCCTTGTGATGATGATGAGGAGGACAAATTGTTATTAGGCTGCTTTTGTTGTTGATTGATCTGCTGCTGATGCAATCTTGATGATGATCTTCCAGTGTGCTTCATTGGCTGCGTCTTCGTCGTGCTTAGCCAGTAATCATTGGAGCCTTTGGATGAGTGGTTTACTATAGTTTGATTAATTTTAAGCCACTCAATCATGCCCGGCTGATGCTGAATTTGATCAATTGCTTGGGGAGCAGGAAATGAAGGGGTTAATAAAGAGGATAACTCATTACACCCTTTGGTCTTGCCAAGTGAGTTTACAACTTCAACTTGCATGGACGACGATGACGATGGGGATGATGATGATGATGGATCGAACAGACTTGGTTGCTGCAAAAACAAAGTTAATTTCGGAAATCTCGATGATTTTGATGACAAGGAAGGTGGAGAAGTAGGTGGTTGATCAGAAACTTGAGCTCTAGTCAGCTGTGGAAATGTTTCCAAGAAATTTAGAGGAACAAAAGGACTACTTGTGTTGTTGATCAAATTGGAACCTGAAAGAGAAACATCCTCTGCGGAAGAGCTACTAGACTCCGATGACAGTGGCGATTTTGATCCACTGCCGCCCCAGCTGGCTGGATGATCACCGAACAAATTTGATCCAATATTGTTACTAGTTGCCATTCTTGTAAAATAAGAGTATGGCAATTGCTTTTCTATGAAGGTTTCCATCTTGGGAAACTTTTCCTCCATGCTAAATTCTAATACAACTTTGAGTGAAAACACAACAAACAAAGAAAATAATGGCACAGAAATGATGGGAGATCATCAAGGCACTGTGTTGCTTTATATATATATATATTTGCTGCCTCTAAAGCCTAAAGTTCTCGGACTTGGATCCTCTCCTAGCCCAATGAGAGGATCCTCCTGACCAAAAGATTTGAACTGTTAGATGAAAATCCAACGACTACAAACATGATAGTTATTTTAAAATTATAATAATTATAGCCGTTAGATTTTCATCTAATGGTCCAAGTCCTTTGATCAGGAGAATCCTCTCCTTTGAGCTCAGGAAAGGATCCAAGTCTAAAGTTCTCACCTCCTCATGTGACAGGTATTTTGCTGCCCTAATAGAATATTAGGGAACCTACTTTATGTCGATAAAGCAAAAGCTATTGTCCGAGTCAGATCTCTCTCTCCCCTCTGATTAAATGACAAAAGGAATAAGCTCACAAACTTCCATTTTCCTCCCCCACGCAAATTCGTGCTTGCCAATATTCTTTGATGTCTCAATGCAACCAATCAGAACCCGCCAGCTCAGGCGCTTCTTGGCTTACCTGCCATATGGGAGGGTGTTACATGCAGTGAACCTTCCCCAGTGATGGTGACTGCATGCAATTTCAACCTTTTACTTTCGTTTCATGCCTCTCTATGTATTTGATCATGGATTTTCTCTGTCATTCATCATGTGGTTTCTCCAAAATTCACATGCCTCATCCCCTCTCTTTTTCTATTTAATTTTTATATATAAAGTTTAGAACTTTTCTTTTTGTTACAAATGGAGGTTTCGATTTAGTTCTAAATCTCTAGTATATTCCTACCCATTGCTTTACTCATTCTCACTATTAATTAACTTAAGTGAAATATACAGCAAGGTTGAACAATTCAAGCCTTATTTTACTAAAATTTAACTAATGGAATAGCAAGATAAAATGTGTGCGATTGTTGGTAAGCTTCATTTATCAATATTATCATCGACATAATCATTAGCGTTGAACCGGCCTTAAACCCAATTTAAACCAGCTATTATGTTAGTTAATTGAATTTCGTTTCGGCCGGAAAGTAATGTTTGATTATTTAAATATTAGGAAATGATGACTGTCTTTCTGGATCTAGTTGCATTAAACAAATGGTGATGAAAGTTATCGACACAGGTATACCTTGTTTGGCTTTTTCTTGGGGCAACATGAGCATGTGTCTTCTGAGGAGGGTTTGGAGACACTCAATAAGCACCTTATCAAAGGTAAAAGCTACATATGATATAATATATATGGAATTGCTTAAGGGGAGGGATCCCCATTTTTTCAAAAAAATGGGGACACGCTCCCCACCGTTGGATTTGAATTAAATGAAATCCTGTGGTTGAGATTCTAAGGCCTGTGTTTTAATCTCAACCACACAATTTCATTAAAGTCAATCTAACGGTGGGGAGCGTGTCCCCATTTTTTTTGAAAAAATGGGGATCCCTCCCCTTAAGCTCCCTGTAAATATATATATATATATATATATAGCTACCACTTCCAGTAGTTCATCTCTACCTCAAATACTGAGGCTGGCTTTGAAATCATTATATGTGTGAGGGCGCGCACACACATAATATATAAGCTATTTTAACCAAAATGTTTTTTGAAACAGCATAACTCGTCATTTTAGTTTCTGAAATTTGAAATCGATAGAAGTGATTTCTAAGTTTGTCTACCATCAATTTTTTTTTTCTTCTGTGAAAAATCTCTGTTAAATAAGGACCAAAATAACAAAACTCCCCTCAATTTAGTAAACTATGGGCCAAAATGATTTGACAAAATATGAGACTATTTTGCCATTTTGATCTTATTTGATAGAGATTTTTTACAAAATGACCAAAACGATTAGTGATGGATAAATTCAGAGATCACTTCTATTGATTTTAAATCTCAGAGATCAAAATGAGGAGTTATGTTAATCTTAAATATCATTTTGTCTAAAAAGCCTATATATAATTATATAATTTCCAAATTGTGTGGTGTTCGTAAGTTTGCAGCCATTTTAAGCTACCTATTTGGGTCAACGCCACTTGGAGGAACCACGCAAGGGAGGAAAATACAATAACAATATGTTCTAGAGGGAAAGGAGAGGGAATCTTAAAAAAAAAAAAAACCCTAATAATTTCACTTTTTTGGCAAGTTTGTTTTACAAATATTATTCTAATTAATTAGGTTAAGTACTTTGTAAATGTTATCTTAGAAAACAAGCACATGGCTAAGGCTGAAGCTAAAGTACCTACATTATGTTTTTACTTGTTTAATTTAGGAGTATTAGTAGGCCGACGTACGAGGCTATGTTTTCATATGTAAGCTTTTTTTTCCTATTCTCTTTATATCTTTATTCCTTCCTGTGTTTTGGACCTCAAAACCCTAAAACATAAGTAAATATATAAATAGAGAAATTGCTTGCCTTCATTTCTGAACACACATCAGCAATAGCTAGCTTTTAGTTTAAATTAGAGATTTAGTAGGAGGAGCTTGAACATGATCAAGGAGTGGATGACAAGTCATGAATGGGGACTCAGTGCCCTGTAAATATAAACTATATTGTGACAGGTCTTTGCTTAATTTTATTACAAACTTCCATCTGTTTCTCAGTCTTGAAGATAAGAATTTTGCAGCCTGTATATCAAAGGAAAATATATTATTAAGAAAGTTGAGGTTCAACTTATGCCTGAATCACATTCTTTTTTATTTAAGTTATCTTCTTTTTATAGTCTTTTCTTTATTGGCTTCATCCTGTCTGTCCCATTACATCTAGTAACATAAAATCAATTGGCAGTGTAGAGAATAGTTCAACTATTTATTAGCACATGTAAGGTTCATCCTCTCATCAATATGAGATTCATTCTCAACACACTCTCTCACGTGTGACGAATTTTCAAGCTTAACACGTGGACAACGCAAATCAAGTAATGTAGAGCGCGTGTTAGGCTTCGCACGTAAGACAACCTGCTTACCATGAACACACATCAGGTTCCATCATAAAACTAATTGGCAATATGAGGAGTAGCTTAACTACTTATAAGCTCATGCAAGGTCCCTCCTCTCATCAATATGAGATTCATTCTCAACATTCATTGTGCTTGGTTGTCCTGTTTACCATTCTCTATTAATAGTTATGCTTATCTCGTAAAGCACGTGTGACCATTGGGCTACTCATGTTATATCTAATAGCATTGCCAACTCAAAGTATTAGTTTTTGGTTTGATCAAGATGGCTAGGGACTATGACAAATTCATCACATATATACATATATATATATATATATAATTAACAGGCACATACATGCATAAACAACAGATCTCTAGTCACTTGTATTATTATCATTATCATTTTCTAGAGAAAAACATGTTGAATATTCCACATTTTTGATCCGGGGTGTGTGTCTCTGCATGTATTTAAGTGTATGTGGGGGACAGAGAATTTGTCCCTTGTCAACAGTTTATAACCTTCACTTGCAACAACTACGTACCCTCAAAGTCTAATCAATTTGTTTAAAGTATAATGGCATCACAGATAATCAATTTATTAATCACCCATTTGAGCTTAATTAAGCTGACTCTCAAAGAAAAAAAACGAACAGGTTCGTTTCTGGTGCAACTACTCCAAGAATTCGACTATTATATACGTACGCATGACTTTCCTTTTACTTTATTCTTCTCATCACATCGACTTCTTTTTTTTAGGGTTTTGATCAACCCTAGCTATCTTTTTTGCAAGGAAGTTCATCCCTCCACGCTTCCCCTTCACTAATTCGATCTTTAATTTGTAACAGCACACACAAACACCATATGTTTCTATTGCAGCATCGCCATATCTATATAAAGTTAGATAAGATGAAAAACATGATAAGAGAGTGTAAAAGATAAAAACGACTGCATATATGAAAGTGGAACCTTTCTTGTTCAAATGATATATTCCAATATTTTTTGTTTTGTTTTACATCGCTTACTCTTTCCATATTTTCTAGCTCACAATTAGGAGTTATTAAAAATCAACAAGTTTTTTTTTTTATACTAATGCAGCGCGTTGTAGACACGAAGTCACAAGAATTACGCTCCGGATACTACTTATTAATTATCCAAATTAGAATGTCAAGAGCGAAGGGTTTCTACATGTCCTGCTGACTTTGCATAAATATGTAATACAAAGAGATTTGAATACAGTATAGAAAATGCTATTTCATTTAGTAATGAATAGAAGAAATTTTAAGCTGCAAAGTTATTATATCCAAGGTATAGAAAATGTTATGGCACTAGAAACCTAATAAAAATAGAAAATCAACCAAAAGAATCAAGACTTCTGGCAGCCTATATATTAGACATGCGCATCACATATTTGGCACTATCACATAACTCAAACTACATGTGATAGAGTTCATACTTGAGACATATTAATAAGGAGATTATAATGCAAGCTATGAACAATGACATTACTATTTTAATATAATTTTGAGTACCTATCGATCATGTCATAAATTATGAGAATTTTTCAGTGTGCCGGGAACAAAGTCTGGTATATCAAGTTTTATAATACAAATAGTTGGATGCTTGAGGAAAAAAAATTTCTACCACTTGTGTTTTGATACTTGGTAAATCGGACTGTGTTCTCGGCACACTGAAACTCTCCATAAATTATAAACCCAACTTAACACTTAATCTTGGATGTATACTGATTGAAAAAAAAAAAAAAAAAAAAAGAATCATGGATGTAAATACATGCATGAATTTAATATTCTTTGCTTAGCGATATTATAAAATTTTTAATTCGTAGGTAGGCAGCAAGCAAAACCTCTTGGAAGATGACCTAAAAAACCTTATCCTGTTGGTGAAAATTTTGTTGCACTTTGTTTTTCTTTAATTCCAAATTAAGTTGTAGTTTGCTTATCTGTTGATGAGTAACATCATGACTTCCACCAATCGATCGAACTAAACTAATATATATTTTAATGAAAAAAAGTAGCATGGAGTGCGCTTTATCGTTGTTTTGACAAAGCATGATCATCAATGCCGTTATGCATATCA